TCATCGGCCCCAAGAGCAGAAGGAGGGGAGTGCTGGCGATGTTGTTGTACACCGCGGCGGCCTTGGGGGTGCAGCTTGCATTCCGCAAAGGAGAACGCGGCCTTCGAATCTGCTGGATAGGCGTGCAGCTCGAGATTGTCACCAACAACAAGGCGCCTCCTCCTGACGGCGCCGGAGAAGGTGGCCAAGGAGCTGCTGGCAAAAATGAGAGAGTGGAAAGGCAAGGGCATGATCGCCTTTCGCGACTTGAGAGCCACCACTGGAAAGCTGTCATGGATGGCGGGGATTGTTCCTCGAATGAGGTGGCTGGTCTCCATCTTGTATGCGGTCGTGGCTTCGGTGGAGGCCGACACCCAGAACGGGGCAGAGTTCACCGGGCCGCGTCTAGACAAGACAGGAGACCGAAAGTCGGACTCGTGCCGACCAAAAGAGTGGAGCTGCCCCGATCCTGGCTTCAAGCCTTCTTCGAGCACGCGCAACTTTGGTTGGTGAGGAAGGAGCCCTTGCTTTGGCAACGCCCTGAGTTCCTGGTGGTGGCAGACGCGAGCCCCATGGGCGTGGGCGCCATCCTGGCCGCGGCGGACCCTTCGCTGACCTTGTTCGAACCGATGGTGGCCCTGAAAGGCGTGGTCACGCAGGAGCTGGCAAACTTCTTGGGAGTTCCGTTTGGCGAGTCGGGTTCGCAAGGCCCGCTGGAAGCCCTGGCGCTGGTTTTGGCAGTGCAAGAGTGGAGGCACAAGTTGCGGGGCTCGGTCGTGCTCATCAGGTCGGACTCTGTGGTGGCCCTCGCCATGGTGAAGAAGTTGGCGGCGAGCTCACCGGCGCTCAACTTTTTGGGGGCTTGCCTGGTGGAACCTTGAAGTGGGCGGGATCGTCAAACTGGTCGGGCATCATCTTGCAGGAGCCCTAAATGATGAAGCTGATTGGTTGAGCCGACCATCGAAGCAGTCCACCCACGAAGCACCCAAGGCATTAGTGGGACTCAAGGTCAAGGACATCGCCGTGAACTTGGCGGCATGGTACCCGTTCGCGAACCCTGCTGAGGACTTGTCTCCCTGGGGTTCCGGCACTAGCAACGTGCACAGCCTCTTCGAGAGCCTGTAAAAAGGAGTCAGGCATGCAGACGGCCGCGGCTGTCAGGGCTGTGGAGTTTCGTCTGCGAGAGGTTGTGCCTTACTTGTGCCAGTGCTTGCGTGTGTGTGTGCTTGTGCCTAGGGTGACAGGACATGTGCATGTGGCCGTGCAGCTTGTAGTCATGGAGGTGGTAGTTTGGCACCCCTTTGACCTCGTGCCAGCTAGGCTGGGCACTCCATGGCCTCTTGTCGAGCTACCGCTACTCTCCTCATGTGGGCTGCTGGCGCTGCTGGGGTTGAGCATCTCTGGCTGCGCGCGGCTGGCCATGTGGGGATACAGAGTGGCGCGCAAGGGGAGTTCAGCCCCGGCTTGGAAATCTTCCTCAGAAAGCAGCAGACCTCAGGACCGTTCTTATGGAAAAGGCGGCGGCTTCAAACAGGCAAGTTCGCTTCAGGAGGGCGGAAAAGACCAAGTTCCCGCCTTCAAGAATGATGAGTCCGAAGAAAAGGAGGACGAAAAGTTCGGCAAGTGGCAGTGCGCAGTTTGCGGAAGGTGTTGGAGAGTTTCGTCTACCTCCTCCAGCACCTCCAGCACCTCGTCTGCCTCCACCAGCACCTCCAGCACCTCCTCGACCCCCTGCAGAACCTGTGCGAGCTGCGGCGGAACAGGCTTTGACCCCTTTGCTACCGTCAGCGCCACCGAGAAGCTTGCTGGAGAATCGTGGGGAGCCGAACCGGCGGGCTATGGACCCCATTGTCAAGAGAATGCTGGACAGAGCCAGGCCAGTTGTCGACTTTATGGACGAAGAGAAGGTGGCGTGGAGCCTGGGGCGTCCGCGCAGCCAACTTTGAAAAGAAAAGGGCTGGGGGGGTCCGTTCAACGACAGGTGACCAGAGTGCTGGGCCAGAACAAGATTACAGGATGGTGCCCTCCCTTCTTGATATCCTCGAGGCCGAGCTTAGCGCATCTGTTCAGGACAAGGTCTAGAAGAACCGTTGTGGGCACGGACCGCCCCGCGTCGCAAGCTTTGGCTGAGGAACGTGCCGGGGACATTGTGAAGGGGGAAGTCGTTCGAGAAATGGCGATGGATCAGGGCAAGGGCTCCTTCAAGTTCGCGATGGCAGTGGCGATGGATAAGGAGCGGAGATCGGCGGCGGTGGAAGAGTTGAGAAAGGACTTTTGGTCAGAGTCGAATTGGGGCGCTCAGCGGTCCAAGCGCAAGCTGGTCATGGAGCTGGCGCAGGCGGTGGGCGGAGAGTGGTGGAGGCCGCCCCTGACGGAAGATGTCTTGCTGGGCGTGGCCGCGGCATTGAAAGCCGCAAAATTGAAGTCGGCCGCTTCCTTGTTGAACGACTTGAAGCTCTGGCACGTGGAGCAAGGCCACCCGCTGTCAGACTGGTTGGTCAGGCTTATAGGGTTGGCGAAGAAGTCGGTCAGCAGAAATTTGGGGCCGACAAAGAGGGCAGTCGAGCTGAAGATTTCGGAGGTGAAGGGATCGCTTTGGCTTTTGGGCCGGCGTTTGGAGATTTACGAGCCCACTTTAGCTTTCGCTTGGGCAACGATATTCATGCTTCGTTGTGCGGAATTGGTGGCTGTAATGTGGTCCCATGTTGCCGTGGACAAGGCGAAGAGGACGGTCACTTTGAGGATACCCATCTCGAAGACTGATCAGTGCGGATGGGGAGTGAGGCGGACTCTTGGATGTTGTGGGTTGCGAAAATGTGCCTGGACCTGCGCCTGGAAAGTTTGGAACGAGTTGGCCAGGAGATCCACCTCGAAGTCTGACTTCGTGTTCGTGGAGAAGCCGGACGGGTCCAAGTCTACACGAGCAATGGCAACGGCTTGGAAGTGCCATCTGAAGGCCGACCTTACAGGGCATTCGGCCCGGAGATCCGGAGCAATGATGTATGTGCGGGCTGGACTTCCCATTCAAGAAGTGGCTTTCTTGGGTAGATGGAAGTCGAACGTGGTCCTCACCTACGCGGAGGAAGCGTTGGAGGAGGTTCCGGCAAACCAAAGATTACTTGCTCCTCCGTCAGCGGCATCCTCCAAAGAGTTTGTGGGATGGAAAGCGCCAAAGACGCCTAGGTTGGAGAAAGCTGACCTCGGCTGCGACGAGCCAGTGCCAATGACTCCTCCGAGGCCTGCGCTGGTCGGGCGCGCAGAAATTGATGAGTTGGACGTGCGTCCAGAACTGGACTCCAGGAAGGGCGTGTCAACCTTTGACGGGCGCAAGTTGAAGGAGTTGTGGGTCCACTCGGTGCGCGACAACAGGTCCAACCCAACTCTTCATTCGGTGGCTGTCGCTGGATGGGACATCCCCATGGGATCTTGGAAAACGGCATGCGGGTGGCCATTCGCGCAGAACAAGGCGGAGGCTGCCTTTTGTTACAACGGCGACATCACAAAGAAGAAGTGTCGCAAGTGCCTGCTGAACAAGAAGAAGCGCGACGGAGTCAGTGACGTGGAGGTAAGGCGCATCAAAGAAAATGCCTTTGCCAATGTCCTAGGGTGAGGTGAAAGGTGACGGAAAGTCAGACTTTGCACCAACCGGAAAAGTGCGCTTCAGCTTGCACCTCTGCTAGTAAGGGCGGAGGGTGGGATTTGTATGTGCAAGGAATGTTGCCCTGAATTCCTTGCAAGATTTGCTCCTATTTGCCGGTGACTGCTTAGATTGTGGATCCCATGCAATTCAAGTCTCTCGACTGTGGCCCTGTTATGTTGTTAGTTTTGCTTCGTTTTGAACTTTGAGGGTTGACCCAGCCCAGTGAAACAAGGCATTATGGTGCTAAGCGTCCAGCTTCCTTCTCAAATCTATTGCCAGAGCAAGGGCGCTCAATACTTAGACCTTGAGCAGCAGCAGGGTATTCGAATAATCTGGCGATGGTCGGAGGCCTAGCTTAAGACACCTGAACCTTGATCGCTTGGTATCCTTTGCCTCACTCGCAGGTTCAAGAAGGGTCCTTGCAGCCGATCCCAGCGGTGAGCCAGCAATCTGAACCAAGGCTGGGCATGTGCCTTGTTTCAGAGAACGGAGGCTCTTCTTAAATCTGAATGTCCGCACTGGTTTGCGTCAGTGCAACTCATTCTGCTTGTTGTAACTAACATCAAAACGCAGAGTAGGTGCCATTCAGCATGTTTCTATGAACCTGATCAGGTTGTTTGATTTTTGAACACGACTCTGTGCACTTCTGATGTTTGTGGCGCCCGGCGACAGTTGACGCGTTTGAAGGACTGCGGAATTCGCAACTGTGGTTCACGTCATACAAATAATACCATCTCACGGCAGCATCAACATGAACGACACGAATGAGCATTGAAAACATGCCATTTAAACAAAATTGAACACGAGTACCAGGTTCATAGAGACCTTCTCTTTCAAAGAAACTGCGAACAACAGTCCTTCTTGTAGGAATATCCAAAAACGGAACCCCTAGTTCCTGGAAATGCTTAAGCAGACTGAAAACCTGGGCCTTGAAGTTGAGGGCTCGGGGTTCACGGTAGACAGAGCAAGTTGCCCACGGCTGAATTGAGCTAACTTTGATTAATGCTGCAATGAATGCCATAGTAGTCCAGGTCCCTAGACCCCCTACAGCCCAAACCAACGCCAAGCCAAGCAAGCGACTGTAGAAATCCCTCCTGTAGTGGCTGCAATGCCCACTGGCTCTCTTTAGCTGAAGTGTCGCCACGAGCGCTAACATGGAATCGATGGTCCACTGATGCGACGTGCAAGGAAACATAGCCCACAGATGCCTTTACGCATCACTTTGCCCAAGCCCTTCCATGGTACCATTCGTTTCTTTTTTGCGATTGTGGAACTCCTGGCATGCAGACATACGCTGCTTTCACAAGTTTTTTGTCCGTTGTCCAGACTTCCCACCCCAAGCTGCAAACGGCCTAGCGACGGTCTGGTGCATTTCTGAGAGGCTGACAGCTCGTGCTTCTGCAGTCGCGAGCGAGCTGCTGAACTATGTCGGCCTCCAGCCTTTTCTCGAGCCCAGACAGCAGTGTACTTGTAGACTCGTAGTGGCGGTAGGACCAGGATGCACAATATCAGTAGCATAGCAGATGTACTACTAGTGGCAGTGTCATAGCGAGTATGGCAGTACGAGTAGTAGCAGAGGGAAAGTCGTCGTAGCAGCAGCAGGAGCAGCAGCAGCAAGAGCAGCTGCAGCTGCTATCATCATCGTCGTCATTGTCATCGTCATTGTAGGTGCAGTGGTGGCCACTGTCCTGACCGTCACCATTTTTGTGATGCTGCTTCTCCTCGTATCCCGGTGCTGATGCTGCTGCTGCTGCTGCTGCTGCTGCTGCTGCTGGTACTGAACTTGCCGGTGCTGCTTTTGCTTGTTTTGTGTTTTGCTGGTGACGGTGCTGGCTTTGCTGATGCTGGTACTGGTGCTAGATCTTACTCTAAACGTGTCATGCTGACAGAGTGTCTGCCTGTTCAGGATGAGGGATCCTGCTTGAGGTCAGTTTGACTGAAGGTTAGAACTCCTGGAAACTCACAGTATCGTCTTGCACGCACACTCCAAAGAACACAGACCTGTCCTGGACTTCTGAACCTTAAACGGTTGCCAACCCCAGCCCATATTGACCAAAATCTAGAAGTACGCAATCCAAATCAGGAAACGCCACCCCGGGCGGCGGCCCAGCTCATTCTCGAGGCGAGTCTGCGGCTTCCTGTCTCCATTTCAGGGAAGGAGGGAAGAAGGGGCAAGAAGGAGTGTTGGAGGATTTCTTTTTCTGTTGCAGTCTCACAAAGACACTGGCTTGAGCGCTCAGGTTTCACCTGACGCTGCTGGAGATTGAGCCGCTTATTCTTCCGCCCTGGGTCATGGACATGGCCTTCCCTTCGCGGGACAGCCCCTGACTGAATTTGCTGTGGAGTGCTGCTTCTTGAGGCTCCCTGGGTGTCGTGGCAAGTTTGGTGCTTGTGGTTGGGGCATTGTGTTCCATTTACCGCTGCATCTGGCTTCAATGACACTCCTTGGACATCTTGCAGCTGTGGATGCTCCTGTCGATCTCTGTTTTGATTGAGCGGCATGGGAGTTTAGACGTGTCTTCGTGCGTTTGCCTGATTCAACCTGATGACACTTGATGTATTTGCTAGTCGCTTCTGTGTCATTGTGGCAAGACTGGGCTTGGCAAGAGTCTGCCCGGCGTGATCTGCTTCACCAGCGACTTGCTGTTTGCAAAAAAACCTGGAGCGTTGATCCTGAGCCAGGAGGGTGCCTGCAAGACAGCAAGTTAAGAGATTGGTATGTTTGATCTTCAGGAGATGTTCTTCGCTTCGCTGGACCTGGAGAGCTCCTTCCAGCAATGGCCCCCAGAAGCTTGGCACAAGAAACCTGCGTACAGCGTTTTTCAGGAAGTTTAGCTGGGCAGTGCAGATCTTGTTTTTTGTTTGCAGGAGTAGTTCAGTAATAGCAGCAGTGCGAAACAAGTTAAGGTACAGGTTATCATGCTTGGAGGTTGCGGGCGCTATTGGTGACTATTAGCTACGGGGGCCTCCAACACTTGGCAGCATCCTTCTGGTGGTGTCTAGCATAGTAACCCTGGCCGCCGTTGGGATCCCTGGGTTAACACGACCAAAGCAGCCCGGTTCCGAGCCATGGCCACAAGACGTAACCCCTTCAACCGATGACATCCAGCAACATGCGTCAATACCCGCCAATAAGACTTTCGCTTGTCCGGTTTTCGGTCCTGAAGTCATATAGAGCAAAAAGCTTCAGGCTGTAAGATAAAGGAAGCCATCAGCAACGTTGGAAGCCGATGAAGATTCTCCTGCAGCCCTTCTTCTTTTGGTTTCCAGTGCTAGAAAGCTCAGAACGCCGAAGACTTCAACAAGACCATCAAGAATGATGATGCTGACTTTTTCTTCGGTGGCTTGGATGAAGCAGCAAGCAGGAACGTCAATTCATCTGCAGAGACTGCATTGCTTGCATAATGACATAATGAGTCTACCCAGGCGAATTTGGAAAGACTTCGGGAAGCCAGAGCGATCAGCCCTTGTTCCAGCCACTCGGGGGCAGCCTGTAGAAAAGCTTTCCACATCGAGCCAGCAGGTTGAGGCCTGGAACATTGAGAGCTATTCTTACCGCTGTAAGTCTGTCAGCATCCACCATCCACTTCCTCTATTTTTTGAGTTGAGTTGTAAGCTGGATCAGCCGCATAAAGCTGCTTAGGCATCCGGATGTGGGCCAGAGCCTGTCTTGCCGATGGGCGCAGCTTCTCAACGGTGTGGTTCCGCACTGGCAAATGGCTTGCTGCTTTCAGTAGGATTGTTAGTTCCGTTCTGCATAATTGAGCCTCATGACTTGGCCCTGCTTGGGTACGCACCTCATGACACAGTAAGGCTCCGCAATCATAGCAGGGCTTCCTTGCTGCATCAACAAAAATTCCTGAGGTTCTTGCCAGGCTGATGAGCACCTGGGCTCATTTGCAGTGTCGAGTTCACTGGAAGGTCTTCAATACTTCTCCGTTCTGAGTGTGCTCGTCATGTCTGCTGCAGTGCAGTGAAAACTCCTGACTCCAGTTACTTGCTGAAACAAGATTTCCAGAAACGGAGACTCTCTACAGTTCATAATTTTCACGAGCGATCGAGCTGCACCACCCGTACTTCCATGACTCTCTCATGACTAGGAGCATTTTTACTGCTTTACTATCTGCTGTATGAGCTAGTCTTCTGATTATTGCTGTTACCGGCCGCATGGCTGCAACTGTTGTTGGTGTTGGTATGATGCTTGTTGCCAGTACACTCTCCGGTAAGGTTCGGACCTATCAGGGCTTTGCCTCGACCGCCGCATGGTGCCGGAGCGTTTGCGGATCACGCAGGCTTGCTCCACAAGAAATGCATTGGAGAGTTCAACGCCCTAATTCGCTGGCTGAGTCCGCCTCTTCTATGGTTCCACAGCTCGTCAGGAGAAGAGCCACCTGAGAGTACTGCACATGAGTTGAGGTCTTGAGAGGTCTGTTGAGTCTTTCTCACTCAGAGGTCAGACGCTACTGTTTGCTGCGCTCAGCCAGCAAGATGTTGATTTCAGTCTTCAAGGCTTTGATTGACAGGCGCTCTTGTCCGCGATGCGGCTGGTGCCCTGGTCAACCAGGTCACTCGGACAATCATCCCTCGTGCGCATCTTCTTGTCAGCCTTCCAACTGTGTTCTTTCCCTAGTTCAGATCAGATAGGCTTCCAATTTCTTTCCTGACTTTGATATCCGGTTTTACTAGCTGTGTCAGATTATGCAGTTGAATGTATTCGAATTCCAAGTTGAATGGGGTCATAGGTTGCAAATCAGCGAACTATCCCGTGTGTCTCTTTCTCAGATCATGTGGGTGCAGCAGGTCGTGGACCCATAACTGCCGCTTTCCGCTCACGTTGTTTGCAGGTTGCGAATCAAGGGTAGAAGCTTCACCCTGATCACAACAACAGCGTATTTTCGGAAACAGATGTGTCCTCCTCCGACTCTTCAGTTTCTCGTTGAGATGTGCGATTTTTTGAAATTGCTCGCTCAGGCATGCATGGATCTTCCCTGACTGGCATCGGCATCGCATGGCATTTGTCTCTTGGGTTGGCAAGGACTCAACAGCCACAGCATGCCAACCCATGCGAAGGGTCTGAGAACCGGTTCCGTCCTAGAAGTCACTAGCCATCTTCCGAACAGGTCATGCCGCACAGTCAGTAGGGACACCTGCTCGGCTTTGGCCAAAGGCCGTGTGAACAAACATGTCGCGTGTGAGCTTGGTATTTGTTTCTTAAGGCGCCCCGTACTTTGAAGCCTAGAGAGGGCCTGGTGTGACACGCAGAGAGGAGCTTGGCTTTGGCTGCTTCCTTTGGGCGGACAGGGTGCCATGCTCGGTGGAACGTGATCGCGCTGGAGTCCCTTCTCTTTTGATAGCTCCCTTGTTGTTGGAGCAGAGAAGGAGCACCTGAAGCCTGAAAGTCCCGCAAAGGCATGTGCAATGTGGTCCCGTGTCAATCACAATTGCTGTCATAAAGCTTGATGTCCAAGTATCCAAGTACTTGCAGGGGCTTCATGTAGCTGCCTCTAGCTCATATAAGCCATTTGGTAAGCCGCCTCGACACGCTTGCTGCTGTGGAGGTGCTTCCCTTTATTCCTTTGGAGCCCTTCCATCCTTGTGACCGCTCCTCTTGATCTGGCAAGGGGTCTGGCTTCCGAAAGCTGATGTTTCCTGTGCATAGAGAATTTGCCAGCTGCAGAGAAAGGATTGTACAGCTGCAGCCTCTTTGCCAGCTGGCCTGCTGTTGCTTAGACAGAGGGTGCTGTTTCTAGTCTGGTTTGGAGGCATAAGCATTATGATCAGAGTTGACTTTATCACGGCAATCCTAAATCCCCAGAGCTCATAGTTGATGGCAGAGATGTGGAATAGGACGAAAACGGGGATGAAGTCCTTCTGTTGATGCTGCAAATCCTGCATGACCTCAGTATACCAAAATCTCATCATTCCAAAGGCAACAAGCAAGGAGTTGCCGATTTTCAGCAACTCCTGTACTTTCTGCGTTCAACTCCACCTGGTGGCAACGCAGGCAAGGCTGGTCAGATGTCCCTCTGCTGCCAACTTGCACAACATTGTAATTGAGACTTGGCAGCCAATCGGCTGCGGGAATGTACACCGCAGGTGTTTCTGAATTGTAGCAAACCGATGTGCAGAAGACACGACTCCTTGCAGCCAAGCTGTTCTGTCGTCTTTTTGCAGCCTGCCATCCATTTAGTGCAGCTGCCGCAGACATCCGATAAAAAAAGCTTATTCGACAACTTGTCAGGATATCTTTTTTGTTTTGACGGTGCCGCGCTGCTCTTTGCAAATCTTTCAAGCAGGTCATGGAAACACCCGTGTAGGTATTCAAGGGATCACACTGGATCCCAGTGCTTGCCAGAGAGACCTAGTCAGTTACAGTGCTCTTCATAGCCGAGCTGCCCCCTCCTGGGAGTTCCTGGCATTTCTTCATGTAATCCTGCTTTTTGTGTTTCGGAACAACACAGGCCAACTAGGTTGGTCCTGCCCAAGTCGCTTCTTCAATTCATCAAGAGTTTTTTAACAGCATGAATGTTGATCTCAGACAAAGTGTTGTTGAAGCATGCCGCGCAGCATCTCTCCAGCGCTCGCAAAGCCTAAACCCTAAGCCTTTAACGGCCGCCTCCTTGTGAGGAGGGCTGGGCACTTGAGTTTGCATCCGAGGAGCTGCAGGCGATGATCATAGCCAGGGCTGGAAAGTAATAGGCCTCTTCTTTTCTACTTGTTGAGTCAGTCAGGGAGCCATGGCAGGAACGTAGACCCGGTCTTGTTGTAGTTACTGTAGTGGGGTATGTGAGGTATCCCTGTGCTTGTTGAGTAGCTGAGGTGCAGGGTCTAGTAGTCTTCATGGGGTGAGGAACTTGAGTGGGACAAGCTTGGAAATCCGAGTACAAGTGAATGGGATGTTCTTGGATAACAACCATCAATGAAGCCCTACGCATCTTGGTTGCTTTCATTGTGCGAGGCAGTGTGTCCCCTCAGGCCAGAGCTGAATCGCTGAGTTTTATGGCCAAGCGACACAAATCTTAATCTTGCATTGCAAAACATATAGGCTGAAGCATCGATGACTTTGGTTGGCCCACCAGGCTTTAGCAGTTTGACTGCAGTAGTGTCTCGGAACCTGTGAGCTTAACAGTCCGGCAGCCCAAATGGACCAACAGTAAGCATAAGCAGAAACCTAAACTGCCAGAACTGATAGCACCAAGCCCAGAACTGAAGCCCCACCGCTACTACCATCCCCAGCATCTCCAGCCACAAAGTCAGAGCAGGCAGACCGAGAAGTTGTTTTGGCAGCCGTGAAAAACACCGGGGAGGTCCTGACAAACGCCCTGTCTGCAGTTTTTTTTTGCAGTTTCGTGCAGGTCGCAGTCGTCCTTTTGTAGTTTGGACTGGATGTGACAAGGGTTCGTTGCAATTGTCTACATGGGCGTCTCCTTTTCAGTTCTGGCGAGTGTTCACCTGGGGTACTGGTAGCAGTGCAAAATGTTGTCATGTTCTTCCCGCTATAGCTTTGCTGTGCCTTCCTGCTTCTTAGTCAGCTCCGCTGCAGGGTTTGGGAGAATGACCCTCACTTTCTCCGGTGCGAGTTTTTCTGTTGATGGCCACAGAAACTAGAAACTCCTGGAATGAACGTGTCGCACAGTTGCTCAGATTCTTGAAGCCTGATGTTGATGCAAGTGATGATCTGTGAGCTATACTGAACCATCATGGTCCTCAGCTTTCAGGCTTGCGCTTTCATGGAACTTCTATCAAGGGTGGTACTGGCCGCAGGCCCTGCGCTATGCTCGCAAGTT